AAGTTGTTTCGACCATTGCAGTTATATTGAAGGTGGAACTATTATGAATGAAGCTTTAATAAAATCATAATCAAGTGACGATTTCATTCATTTGCACTTTTAGGAGGTCTTTGTGTCCTATTCTATGCCGATAAGCGTAAGAGGTAAATTTTATTTTCCCTACATGATGAAATGTTATTTGCAGTTTCCCTACTTCCGTTCAAACAGTGTTTTTCATTCTTGCTTTTCGTCTTTCCGAAAGGTTGGCATGAAGTTTGATGATGTTTGAAGAAACAAAAACTTGACACAAACCTCAGACGGGAAACATAACAAAAGGAACACTCGTCCGAAAATCAAAAAGGACGAATATGAAAACAACAAGCAAAAGGAGTTTAAAATAACTTAAACTGGCAATCTCTCAATGCTATTCTTGCCTTATATTTCACGGAGCCTATTTGAAGTTTAATAATAATTACTTGTCGGTGAAAGAAACAATCAGTTGTAATTTCTTGCTGCAAAAGGCTTTCTCCTCCTGTCTCCATCTAGCACATTCAATGTTTTAATATGTTCATGTTATTTCAATCAAAGTCGAGCAGTATTCTCCAAACCCATCAACGGGACCGTCATCTTCCGCTGTAGTTCCAGCTGTCGTAGCTGTCTTCGTCATAGTGGTTATATCCCTGCTCATCACGATAGTGGTTTACAAACGGTAATATTTCATTATGTAGACTGGTGCTTTCCCTGCCGAAAAGATGTCACTTTGTCGAAAAACAACCGAAAATCATTCCAAACGAAATCAGACTTTTCAAATAGTGGCACAAATACCTGTTTTTCTTAATGCAAAGAAAGGGTTAGGCCTTCTTATCATTGTGGAAGTTTGGGCATATTTCAATATTAAGTTAAAACCCTCAGACATTGATAACTCTTCCAAAAGCACAATTCCTATCAACTTTTTAGAATGAAGAAAATTTCCTCTTTTTTAGAAGACAATTTCAGCAAGCCAAAAAGCAGACGGATATTGACGGAAAAGGGCAGCCCGCAAATATGTATCGGGGAAATAAAGGTAGGGCGATTTTTCTCTGGTATAGGGAGCATGAGATTCTTTTTCGTCTATCACGCCCTTTCATCTATTCAGGCTCATTTTTATTCGTGCGTTCAATAAGAAAAAAAGCTCAAGAACTGTAAAAAAAAAAAATGTTTTCATGGCCTACAGAGGAATCTGAGCAACCTGCGGAATCTTTGCCCAATCTTCACATCAATGTCAACAAACCAGGTGCGACTTGTGACTCTCCTTCCACGAGAAAGCTAAAACCTTTGCCCGAACCACGACAACAAGACACCAACTTGTCCAAAGCAAGTCATACCCAGGAGGCACCCAAGCCATTCACTCCAATTCCACCTGTTCGTATCGAGCACCTGGCGGAATATATTCACATGAAGGAGTCGGCAGAGGAAAAGGGGTTCGAGGCTGACTACAAGGTATGGTTTCTGCAGACTCTGTCATAGAAATCAGTATTACATGCTTTTGGCATCGTCTAAGAGTTGTAATTCCATCTTCGTGTCATTTCTTCGCGTCATCTACTTTTTCCGTCCAAAGGATAAAGCTGTTAACATATCACCAAATGATTTAGTAACCATTTACAAAATGAACTTCCATGTCAATGCAATGATGTCGTTGGCAGATATACACAAAGATCTCAGCTGTTCCTATGTAAATGTTGAATTACAAGAAAGTTAAAGGTCAGTATAATGTTGAAAACTAAACCTTTGAAAGGTTTTTCTGATAAGAGTTTCTTTGTCGGGTAGCAGGCAAAAAAGATTAAGCAAACTTTCCTGATGAATTATTTTCCAGACTCTTCCAAATTCCCAGTTGCATCCGTGGATAGTCGCCTCCAAACCAGAAAACAGACAGAAGAATCGCTACGTAAACGTCGTTGCTTGTAAGAACTAAAGTTAACGAGTGTTCCAGAATGTTATCATTGGAACAACGACTGTATCTACCAAACTTTAATCAATGAACCATTACAGTCTAGAAGACATTGGCATGATAAACTGTTGTTGAACATCAACACTCTGAGAATGTGATCGTAACATATACTCTCTGTACGTCAAGAACAGGCATCTCAGTCGATAAAATGCTTTTTAGTACTTATTTACATCCCCCCTTGCTGCTGAGTATACCTGTTTATCTGGGGTTTTTTTTACATTTCTAGATGATCACTCTCGCGTAGTGTTGGAACCAATGGAGGGTGATCCTCACTCTGATTACATTAATGCTTGCTACATCGATGTAAGTAGAGTGTCAATATAACGAACGTTTCGGTCCTCAATCATTTTGTATGAATGTCTGGACTGCTCATTTTCTACCTATTCTTTCTCTTTTTTGTTATTGGTAGGTAACCGACAAGACCCGATCCCAAACATCGCCAAACAAAACCAAAGCCGATCCAATTTGAAGGGATTTATGTTCGGTTTCCACGACACTGGAAAACATATCGTGGAATTTAATCTCATCAAAGTATGTTCACTAGACAAAAATATTTGCAACTTCAACATTTTTAGGGACATAGGCCTTTCTGACTTCAGTTTATTCATTTGCAGGGATACAAGAAAGAGAACGAGTACATAGCAAGCCAAGGTAAACTCGCTGTCTGTGAGTTAAATGTAGAGTCTATACCTTCATTGGACCGCCCTTTTGATTTATGTCATAAGTATCAAACTGTAACTATTCCGCTAATTTGATGAATCTACAGGACCTAATAAAGCTTCACTTCGAGACATTTGGAGAATGGTGTGGCAGTTGGATGTAGATAAAATTGTCATGCTGACAAATCCGGTGGAGAACGGCAAGGTAATCATTAACTCTGCCTTAGTTTAGAAACTTGATAAAAAACTTTACCGCTTTGTAGAACGTTAAGTACATGATAAATAAAAAGTCACTACGTCCCATTATATGTTTTGGAAAAAATCCATATTTAAGTTGTGTTTTATTTTTAATCGAATTAATTTAGCCGTTTTTATGAAAAAGACTCAGTGATCACATGTACTTATTAATGCACGGAGTGTTTTTCCACTGAAGGTAAAGTGTATGCAGTATTGGACCAACACCAGCCCTGCAACGTACGCGGATATTGTGGTGACAATGGACAAAGAAGAGGTCCTCCTAGATTACAGCATTCGTGATTTCAGCATTCATCAGGTAACAAATGTTACTGCATTAGACTGTTAACCTTTTCTCACTCCAATACTAATTACAATATTGGTCGTGCAGAACTAGATGGCGAAGACCAAATTCTTTTAAGATGCCTGGTGTATACTTAGGTTGGAAGCAAGAATATGAGATTGGTGCGGCAGTTTCACTACACCAGCTGGCCTGACATGAAGCCACCAGAATACCCAACCCCACTACTGAACTTCATGCGCGTTGTCAACGCTGATCAAAACCCTGGACGCACCGTCATACACTGCAGGTATAGTTTTTTCAGGATACACTTACTAAACGGCTCACAGTTACGAAAAGAGCACTGCTTATCATACAGCACTAGGGCTATAGAAAAACTCAACGTAACGCAATTTTCTTATTTTCTTGCAATCACTTGAAACAAACTAACTACAAGATTTTTAAATTTTACGTTATTATACAAAATTTTGAAGTGTCGCCAAACTTCCCAATAAATGTACATTCAGCTGGTACAACGCGATTGTTGGACCAAACATAGAAAACCACATTCCGAAACGAAACAAGGTGACTCGTACGTGATACACACCTACAGCACTTTCTTGATGTGCTTCAATTCCAGTACTAGCATTAAGTTACATTCTTTAGGGCTAAATAATTTACTTTGCTTCTACTTCAGCGCTGGAGTTGGGCGCACAGGGACCTACATCGCATTGGATGCGATGTTGAAGCAAATGGCGCAGGAGGGACAAGTGGACGTTCTTGGCTTCGTCTACCAAATGCGACAGAACCGTATCAAGATGGTGCAGACGCCGGTAGGTCTCATACGGTCACGGTAGTTCATACCCAGGATAGGCATTTAAGCAGCCCTATTATTTTCCTACCGACTGCATGTTGATAGGGCACAAGTCAAAACTTTTACCAAGTTGAAACTTTCAATAAAAAAACTATGGCGACAAACAACAGTAGAAACTGAGATATAAACAGCATCTAGTAAAACGAAGTGTTCTGTCTGCACACTACTCTACTTGAACTGAAATATTACCAACAAATATGAAAAGAGATGACGGTCCTCATTTGTATATAACCCAAGCCTTCTGGGATATAAGAAATGTACGTTTTGTTTGTGCATGCTGTCTTGCCCACGTATGACTTTATCTGCAGGAGCAATACAAGTTTATCTTCGATGCTCTCATGGCATCATCTCTAACTGGTGACACAATCTACCATTCGGATAACTTCAGACAGAAGTTGTCTTTGCTCAAGAAGACAGAGAGAGGCACAAAGGAAACAGGAATGGCAAGACAGTTTGAGGTACGCTCATAACATGAAGCCGCAGGCCAACCCATCCCATATAACCAGTATGACCCATAACAACAAAGTACCCATAAGTGCACAATGCACGAGAAATACAATTTCAGGTATATCACGGTCTACATCTCACATTAAAAAGCATGGAACGTTGGTACCATTGGTACGCAACCTACCACTTCGATAATAACGCGCAGAAAGGCCTTATCAGGGAAAGGGCACTTACCTTTGCAAATCTCTTGATTTTTCTAGACTTTGGGTAAAGTTAGTGTGTCTCCTAACGGTGGCAGCAGTAGGTCAATGGCCGCACTGACCTCTGAGAACGTGGAGAAGAACAGGTTCCGTGACTTGGTTCCAAGTAAGCTGTGGCGCCGTCCCAAAATTTGTGGCATATTTTTCCTCGGGTTAGCTGTATGAAAAGGACATAATTAAGAACAAATCAAAACGGGGGGGGGAACCTACAGTCAACAGGTAAAGGTATTGTCAGAGTTTCCTTTGAACAATGTCTCTAATTTGGCAATCTCAGCACTGAGGTTACTAAGTGAGTTCAGAGAGCCTGAAAAAATCAACGTGAACGTGAACCCACAACCCTCTGCTTGTTTCTGCAGACGTGTTTAGAAGTTCATGTTTTCCGGTCCAAATCCGACCCAGCTTGGATGTTTTTCTTTCACCATGAAAACCGTGAGAAAAACCGTTCATTTACTGCGGCAACGATGTAGAATGTAGGAAACCCACTCATACTTCCTGTTTTTGTTATTAAATAACGTTGCAGCCGACCGAGCAAGACCATACTTGATGACAAGAGTACATGAAGACGATAACGATTATATCAATGCCAACTTCCTCCCCGTAAGTAGGAGACCTTTTTTACCTCTTCAATCGACAGTTTTTTTAGCCTTTTTTCGCACAGGCTAGAGAACTCAAGGCGAAGTCCACAAGCGTAAGTTCAGGAGGGATTTCGTTGTACAGAAGGTAAAAAGGGTAAATGGTAGCGGATATGGAAAGGCCCCAAAACGCACATAATGGATAGGAACCTTGATGCCTCGATTATTGTTGGGCACTACAATAAATAGTTGTCAAATTTGCAGTCCAAACCAATGAAACGTAGCATTGCTTTGTTACCATGCACAGCACCCTGTGCAGGAATGTTGTCGAGATGATATCTTTCTTTGTTAACTGAATCTCATTTTCCATCACCATCATCATGTTTAAATCACTATTTGTGTAAAGCCCACGGAAAGTTACAAACATTGCATACATCTTGAACGGTTTTGAACTCTCACACTCTGGTATAACTATGTGACTTTTTAAATGAGGGCTACTGCAAGAAGAACAGGTACATCGGGACACAGATGCCAATGCCCAACACGATGGCCGACTTCTGGCGCATGGTTTACGACCACAAAGCGACCACTATAGTCATGCTGAACACGCTGGTTCCAAAAGATAAAGTAAGTTCAGATCTACAGTGGCAGGTGTGTTATCAACATAAAATGGTTGTCTTGCCTATTAAAACTGCACATAAAACCGTCTGGATCAATTTTTTGCACGCAATACTAAAATCATTAGTAATTACGCATTCATGTCACTTAAGGCTCAAATTGTAATTTCAACGTCAGGAAAAGACTAATAATCACTGTGAAATATATTTCAAAAGATATGTATTTTGAAACATTGCAATAAAAAGGGGAACACTTTATCTCCCATCAGACAATGTCTTGCTACTGGCCACAAGAAGGACAAATTGACTTTGGACCTCTTGTCATTGAGCTGAATGAAACAACAGAGTATAAAGGTGTCACGAGACGTGCATTTACCCTCAAGAACAAGGATTCTGACTTCGAGGTAATTATGCCGAAATAATCCACTCTAAGATATTTGCAAATGCCCCCATTTTTAGTGCCGCTCATTTAAAATTAACTGGAAAGGAAATTTTTATAGTAACCTGGAGTAAAACAGGACTGACAGAGACGTACACAGAACGCTGTAGGGGAGATAATGATGAGGCGACAAACGGAACTGGCGTCCAAGTCAATGGTGGGGGGCACGTGGAGATAATGTAAGCAACCGGTTTCAATTTCAAAGTTGGTCTCGGTACCACTATTTGCTGGTCTTGGTATGCCATACTCTTGGTCTCAGGCCATCTGGTGTCAACCATACAACACTAGCACGAGGGCCACATTTTGGAGAGTTACAACTCTGGATTTCATTGGTCAAAAAAGCTTCCCTTCTTTTTCGACTTTCCTAATTCTTGATAGGAAAGGCAGTCGGACGTACAGCACACACCACACAAATAAATCCTTTTGCTCAGTTAACATCGCCAGAGTCCATTATACTTTGTAAAATATTGGTAGGTTAGATTTCGAACTTACATAAAACACAAACGATGTCGTAAGTGTACGTGGGAAAAATACATGGAAATTGGTGATTGCAAAAATATGTACAAAGAGTTCACCATAATTCAATTAAGTGCGTTTGTTTGCAGTCTGAAGATTCGTGGGTCGTCACGCAGTTCCAGTATCACGATTGGTCGTCGGAAAAGGCAGTACCAAGCTCCTTCGACGGAATGTTCACTCTCTTGGACCTAACTCAAGATTGTCAGGAAGATAAGAGACCCATCGTAGTTCATTGCAAGTAAGTAGAGGCCCAGAAACGGCTCGTAAAGACTTTAACGTCACTGTAAAAGGGTTTGCTTTTTTGTCAAGTTTAATTATTGGCTACCCCTAAAAATATCCCTCGGAATTATGAAATATTTGAAAATATACGTAGAAGCTTGAAGTCTAACTTTTTTATTTTTGCGTGCAAACGGCAAGTATGAAGTTTGTCTATCCTGACCAGGGACGGTTTCCTACATAGTAATCTTTACCATCTTATAATACTTCCTTTTAATTATTTTTCATATTCGAACCAATGATAGAGTTTCCTGGTACGCAAGCTTACGGACACAAACATCTGACTTTTTAGATATCCACAATAGTAGGTTTCCTAAAAACGTTTTGATGATTCTCTTCACGAAGAGCTAGCTTTTACTTTTTGATACATATGCACAAATTGTTATTATCATCAATCCTTCCCAAGCGATGGATATGGCGCAACCTCTGTGTTCTGCGCCCTGATGGCGCTGTTGGATCAGTTCAAGTTCGAGAAGGCTGTAGATGTGTTCCAAGCTGCTCATCGTCTGCGCATGGTTAACACCAGCATGATGTACTCTGTTGTAAGTATATTTAATTAGAAACACGCGAATTTTGTGTGATGAGTCATAAATTGAAACACTTTATTCAGTATTAATTGCAGTTCCTGTTGGAATATATTATTTCATTTCTTTTGGACATTCTGTTTCTAAAAAGCTCATTTTCCGGTTAAAAGACTAATCAGTTTGTGCTTCATTTTTCAGCATCACTGTCCAATGTGCTTCATTTTTCAGCATCACTTTGCAATGTGCTACGATGTTTTCCAAGCTTACCTGAGCTCGACCACTATCTATGAGCATGTCTAATAAGCAACGTAAAGAGTGAAAGAGGAGTCCTCCAGATTTTTTCAGGAAGATCAATCGTGACGATATCTCTTCAAGGTGAAAGGGGTGAGCCAGTTCGGTTCGGTATTTCAACATTCGGGAACAGCAGCAGAACAGTCCTATATCCGGTTCGCAAGTGACTTCATCATACATGCGCGCTCACTGCAAATTACAAGCTCCGATTGGCGGAACACCCAAGTTGCGCGTTAGCTATCGGTTTTACGAATCCACGGCCGTTTTCGAATACTCGCTTTCGGTTCAGTTGGAGGCTTCAACTGCTTTTTTACTACCTGACTTGAAGTTGCAACCGAAAAGGCAAATCTGATAGTGCCACAAAACATCAGGTAAGATGCAAAAGAACCAAGCATTCCAGTACTTCAATTTAATTTAAACGCTTCAGGCCCAAATCAGGATTGGTTTCGGAGACGAAGCCAGAGACGGGGACCAATTAAGTTGAGTATTGGAAAACGACCCATGTAACTGAATGTGCAGTGGGCGTGGTTCAACTGGTGAAGTCACACTTACAAACTGGAAATCAGCGCAGTCATATACGCCAACTGACGCGCATGCTTTGTTCCCGGTAAACCTTCCCTTTATGACCTCCCGAACTTGCTCATTGTCTTTAGAGTAGTAACTGTTCCATGAAGTTGGGGAAAATCCATGAAAATGACCCTTGTATTTTTAGATTGGTTTTCAACAAAACTAAGTGCTCGTGCAAAAACTAAACTATTTGAATAATAACGACCGAACACTTTAACTAATTCTATCCATTTTCTTAGAGAAAAGACTTTCGTGATAAAAAGCTTCTCAATTCAAGACAATCACTGTATCGACAATTGCCCATGTCTAGCTCAAGCGGAGTCTTCGCTACTCATGTTGTTATTACTTTTTTTACGGTATATTAAAAGTCGATTTTTAACTGAATATAAAAGTACCAATAAACTAAGATTCTCTGAAAAACATTTAGTGTCAATAACAGCAAGTACAGATGTGTCTTTGGTTCCCAAAGTTGAGCACCTAAGTTGAGCTTAACTGCATTAAACTGTTTACAACACATTTTGAATGTATACAAGCTTCTTTCCGCGGCACGATTCCATCAGGTTATGATGGTCTATTTAGTTTTAGTTAAGACTACATGCATACTCAGTTGTTCCCAGACACAGAACCCAGAAGATGATATCAAGTGACGAAAAAAAAATGAATGAATCGTGGGAAAGTGCAATGATCAGAATCCATCAATCCGAAATTTCCTTAGTTACCGAATATACATGTATTACAAAATGTACGCTGGTGTTATTAACGATCACTTAAAATTGGAACAGTCACAGTACGTTGCAAATTCTCCATTGGTGGTATGTATTTGGAAATGGGTTTAATACAAACACAGAGTTCCATTCATTCTAACAATAATTATGTTGGTGCCAACACTTTTGGTGCCAGCACTTATAACCACTATTTTTGTTAAAGTATTGCGGCAATGAAATCTCTTCCAATGTATTTTTATAGCCTTTTTCAAGGTATAGAGCTCTATAAGCATTCGTTTTGGTTAAAAACATTAAAAAGCACCTTACTTTTAAAAGTATGTATGTTTTCCTAGACAACTGAGGGCGCTGTTGCTGTGATCCATGGAATACACATGGCTCAATGCATAGGGTTTTTTGTTCAAAATGTAAAACCAGAATGTGCTTACTGAAAACGTTTTGAAGACAAGTTTAATTTGGCCAAATCTACAAAAATTATGTGCACAAACCAATGTAGCATCGAGGCTTTCTTCCTTGGATGACATCAATTGCTAATGAATATGGAAATGCTCAGCATAAACCCCAAAAGGCAGTAAAATACTCTTTAAAATAGTGAAACAAAAAAGGAGTATATTGAGGGTTTTATTAAAACAATCGATTACAGCTTCCCTTTAAAACTTGTTCAACACATTTAAGCAGTCTAACAGAAAGGATATTTGAAAAACTATTCGCTGTTTTGGCCGTACAGATAAATGACAGGCATGTTTTAGTTTTGATGAACACTTTGCACGTTGTTACCCCAAATTTTGGATCACTAGACAAAACTGCCCCCGAAAACAATAAATCGCCAAAACGTCGTCCAACTACCGATAACTAATGAAGCGTATTATACAGCATCACCGCCGAAGAGCACCCTTGTTAGCAACTGCTCATCTTTAGCACTATCTATCGCATCTGGACATTTATTCTACAGTGTTTGAGTTTTGCTTAAATCATTAAGTTACTTTATGCATTATTCGCAAATGTATACCGAAAATGTAGAATAGATGAAATTTAACTACTGAATATTGATGCTGATATAAATTTACTCAGATTAAATATGATTTCATTTCGAAATATACCCGGTGCCTTTTACATAAAGGAAAACAAATGAAGGAATTAAAAATCCACTACAGATTCCAAATTTTGGACAGGACGTTTGTATTTCTGAATGGACATCAGTGTGGCTGTCTAATTTACACCTCAGCTTTTACAATGTATGGTGTCTTCCTGTACGTGTGATACTGACATTCGTGTTATTTCAAGGTGTCAAGAGTCGCCCGAATTTCAAGCTTGATATGTCTTTCAAAATACCACTTTGCTGCAACAAGGAGCTTTTGGGATAAATGAATGATTTGTGATTGATCTGTGTTCAAGAAGAGCCCTATGCCTTCTGGGTCAGGGTGACAGAATTTGTGTTATTTTGGTGGGTTGCAGCGTCAGAGGTGACAAGATACTTGTTGCCATTTTCAAAATGTCGCCCCATCGGAGTTGTTTTAGTAAGGGAATATAGGTGGTGCTTCAATAGAACGGCACTACTGTCGCTCTTTTCTACCGTCATGTTGTAGTGTCGCTCTATTCTACCATCATGTTGTAGTGTCGCTCTATTCCATTATCCAGGATCAAATAATTTGCAGGAGATTCATAATGTAATAGCATTTTGTTCTCGGTAACGATGAAAATAATTATCATATTATTGTCGCAGTTACTGTACTCAGCATAATTATGTATGTGGAAATAAAGGGGCGAGTTTTGAAGAATTTGCTAAGTATGCGTCTTTATTTATATAGTTTTAGAGACTTCAACTCACTTTTAGGCATTTGTCGATTTCAGTTTGGATACAGCAAAAAAAAGATAATTCGTTAATTACTACCAAAGCTAATCCTCAATCCTCACCAATCTACACATCAACTAGTCGTTTCTTTGTAATGATGTTCCACTGTCACGATTCAATTTTTGTCATGTCCCGCATCTGCAAAGGTTCACTAGCCGTTTGGCATTACAGCACACAAAAACACCAGAAGTGTTGCCTTTTGTAATTAGACAACAATAAAAAAGAATAAAATAAATGATTATAAATATATTAAAATCATAATATTAAATTAGAATTAATATTTTTATACAATAAACAATATTGACCTGTCGAGACGTCACAAGCTTTCTCAAATAAACGTACCTCTTTGAAAAATGGAAACAATTAACTTATGACTGTAAGGGTTTGTAGCGTAGTAAAACGTATATGTATGCTAAATGGCGCCTTTCGTATAGGGAAAGGCAGTTCCGTTTCCATCTCTTATGTTACATTGATTACTTTTGACGTTACATCCAATAAATGCCTTAGAAGGATTTGCGTTCAAATGCATTTACAGTGGATTACGCATGGGTGATATAATACCACGCTTGTTACACACAGAGCATAAGCAGGGTGGAAGAAAGCAAACGACCCATTTAAATTCACACACCTTATTGTCATGAAAGCCACATCCAACGGACCAAGATGGGTAATCTTAAAGGACTGGTACATGATGTCCTGGACGTGCCCTTTAATTGGGGCAATAAAAGACGTTCTCTATTAAATGATGTTTTGAAAGATCCTGAAAGGTGGAATAAAAGTACCTCAGGTCACACGACACTAACCACAATAGGTTTTGTTTGATTGTCGAAGGCAGAATTTCGAAGATCAAAGTTTGACTCCAGATAAATTCAGAAACTGTTGAAGGATGGTCGTAATTTCAGTCATTTGCTTTCCATAAACACATTCAACTGCAAACAATAAGTATAATTTATGCGAAGAGCATCAATTTTATACTCGTGATACTCGTAAATACAACTGAAAACTCGCTCAAAATTTACGATAACAAGTACGTATTCACACTTAGTAACGATACAGTCGAAGTAATCTGCTGCAACTTTTTACAACACTAAGATGTGTTAGGTGTTAGCATTTTGCAAAAATGCAGTTGCTGAAAATGCAAATAAAAAAAAGACTGTAATTGCTCTAAATTCAGTCACATATAGCTATGAAAATTCCGTTCAAAATGCTTATACCATTACCAAAGCTATCAAAATCAATAAATGCAAGTCATTCTTAGCACACATTGACTGTATTGAAACATAAGCAAGGCGGGCAGACAGTCTACTTCACGCACTGGATATACGCAGGTACCTGTGCCCCTATAGAGCAAGCACAGCCTCTCTGTCAGCCCAAACCTGCTCAAGAACCACGGACAAAATGGTCGAACTTTCGATAGCGGATCCTTCGACCCAAACCGAAACGCAGTATAATGTCACAGAGACTATAAAACTCTATGAGTGTTAACATAAAAAGCCATACATTTCAGCTCGTGTGATGAAAATTTAGAGGAATCGAAGACCAAAATAAAACTAATTGAGGCAATCAGAATAAAAAGTTGGAGATTCAACTTGGGCCGTTTCCGACGGTCTCACAAAATCTCCACGAACACCAACCACAGACAGTGACAATGTAATTTAAAAAAATCCTGAAACGAAAGTTCAAACTTTGGACGATACTTGAACATAATTTTGTAATCACAACTTTGCATTAAATTATGTTACCGAATTTACATTTATGTCTCCATCTTCCAGAATGTTTCTAACGTTCTATAGCGCCCGCATGATTGCAAGAAACGTTTATGCCACAATTCCCTATAGACCGGAACAATTAAGTATTGTATAAAGTCTGCGTACATGTCAAGAAGAGGACTCCGTATAGTGTATTTTTTCTATTGCTGGGTGTCTACTGCGTATTCACCATTGCCGATGAGTTTTTCACAAGGGCACAGGTCAATATATTTTGCCAGACGCTAGATCTCCATTTGCATGCAAAGCAGTTCAGCCAGAGAGCATATGTACGCGGAAGTGGATTTACTCTTAATCGTAC